CTTTGCTAGAAGAAGAAGTCTGTCTGGTTCTATAGTATGGTTTTGTAATCAGGTCTGTAAAGTTGACAGTCATGTCTTTGTTCAGCATTAGTGGTAGTGCTATTCAGCCATAAGGTGATCTGAGAAATATTATGTGATCTGTATGATCTTTAGTCTTATTTCAGAACATTATGTTTGAACTTGTCATCTGTCTAGAAATTATTTAATTGGGTGCAGAAAGATCTAAATTAAGTTCTGTTTTGAAATTTTAAGCACTACTTTCCAGTGCTTTTTCTAAACTTCTCTGAGGTGCTATCTACCTTATTTAGCACCCTAGAACTTTGTCCTTAATTGGGTAATTCATTATTGTTTCATACCACACCTCGTCATGTATTTTAATGCTCTAGAAATACTAGATTCTTTTTTTCTGTACAAGATTGATTCTTTTCTAAGATTTTTTGACCTCTTTTCCCTCAGTAATGTTTATCTTAATTTATTATTTGTCTTTTGAAAACTTTTTTTGATGCAACCTCCCCAGATAAACTCAACCTCTTTTATAATCTTTAAGTTTATTGCTATTGGCCTTATTTTCTCTTAAATATCTCCTTCCATTCTGTCCCATCTTGTCTTATGCCTAATCATCCTTCCTTTTTTTAAAAAACCACAAAGTGAAATATCAAACCTCCATTTCCCAGCTTCTCAATAATGATCAATAATTCAGAAAATATTCTTCCTGTCTTATATTTCTTTTTTTTTTTGTAGCAAAGCAACGTGCTCTTATTTTCTTACAGTTTTTTTTTTGTACGTTAGATAAAGGTTTATAGAACAAATAGTTTTTCATGAAACAGTTAGTACACATAGTTTTATGTTAGTACACATATTGTTTTATGACAATGGTTAACAACCCCATGACATGTCAACACTGTCATTCTCAGCCTTGGGTTCCCTGTTACTGGCTTCCCTGTCCCCTCCTGCCTTCTAGTCCTTGTCTCTGGACTGTTGTGCCCCATTTGTCTCATTTTGTTTTTATGGGGCTGTCTAATCTGTCTTATATTTCTGTTTTTCCTTTTTTGTTTACGTCTCTTGAGCTCCAGATGTGTTAGTAGACTCTTCCTTTTTTATGTAAGCTGTGAAAACATGATTTTTCTCTGCCATCAATGTTAAGAAAATTTCCATTTGGGAAATTTTATTGTTTTTATAAAATTTTTCTCCTTAATCAGTAATCAGTCCACAAATATCTATAAAGTGCCTACTATGTGTCATGTTCTAAGAACACAACATGGGAGTAATTCCTAGCATTTAGTAAGTTTATTTTCTACCAGTGAGAAAGATAATAAATGTATAAATCAACAGATGGACTCATTTCCATTTCTGGTGTTATGGAGAAGATAAATACGGTAATACAGTAGAAGTGACTAGGCACAGAGAGGGAAAGCTCAGCTTCTCTCCACCATGTTTTTGCTTCTGGGCCAATTTTAAGTCTTGTGCTTACTTTGTTTTCTCTTGATTTTTCTTTTGCTTTTTTTTTTTTTACTGGTACTTTCTCATTGCTGAGCATTTCTCACCCGCTTCATTCATCTCTTAGAAGCCAACTACCCATCTGTTATGGATTGAATTATGTCTCCCCAAAATATGTGTTGTAAATCCTAAGATCTATGCCTATGTTATAATCCCATTTGGGAATGAGTCGTCTTTGTTACGATAATGAGGCAGGATTAGTGTAAGATGTGTTTTGAGGCAATCTCTTACAAGATATAAAAAAGCAGATTAGGACAAGTAAGCAAGCAGAGATGGCGGAAGAGACATGCCAAGCCACGTGAAGATCACCCAGGAGCAGAAGCTCAAAAGAGACAGGGACCTTCCTTTAGAGCCAACAGAGAAAGCCTTCCCCTAGAGTTGGCACCCTGAATTTAGACTTCTAGCCTCCTAAACTGTGAGAAAATAAATTTCTCTTTGTTAAAGCCATCTGCTTGTGGTATTTCTGTTATAGCAGCACTAGATAACTAAGACAGAATTAGGTACCAGGAGTGGGTTGCTGCTCTAACAGATACCTAAAATGTGGAAGTGGTTTTGGAATTGGGTAATGGGTAGAGGCTAGAAGAGTTTTAAGATGCTTAATAGTAAAAGCCTAGATTGCCTTGAAGAGACAGTTGGTAGAATTATGGATGTCAAGGCAATTCTGTTGAGGGCTCAGAAGAAATTGAAGAGAGCTATAGAGAAAATCTCTATCATCTTAGAGACTACAGATGGTGCCAGCAACAGAATGTTGCTAGAAATGTGGATGTTAAATGTGCTTCTGGTGAGGCTTTAAGAGAAAACAATGAACGTGTGATTGGACAATGAAGGAAAGATGATGCTTTTTATGCAATGGCAAAGAACTTTTCTGAATTATGAGTCAAGTGTTTGGTGGAAGGTAGAACTTGTAAATGATGAACTTGAATATCTGGCTGAGAAGATTTCTAAGCAAGATCTTAAAGAGGCTGCGTGGTTTCTCGTTGACGCTTATAGTAAAATGTGAAGGAAAGAGATGGACATAAAAATGAACTGTGAAAAATGAAAACAGAACTTAAAAAGATTTGGGAAGTTCTTTTGTACAAACTAAGGACATGTGTCCTAGAATGTTGACCAAGGATGTGGCTACATAGTCTTTTGTTAAAGAGATGAAGCCTGTGACTGATGGATCTAACCAACTACCACAGCAGAAAACCCATCAGTTTAAACTGAAGGGAACAGAGTAAGAATTAAAGGAAAGAATGCTTTCCACCTCTTGGAGTTCTACAGGCTGGAGAGAGGCCAAAGGAACTACATTTGTTGTCCTTTAAGAAAAGAAAAGGATCATCCCTGGGGCAGCTCAGAGATCAGCAGAACTGTTGGAAAGAGCATGGAAAGCAGGGCCTTCTCAGTTTCAAAGGGTGGGACCACAGTCTCC